CGGCCTTCATCAACTCTCTCTTCTCCCCCATAACCCTGCATTTTTCTGGTATTTTCTGTCTCTCTCAACCTCCACTGCAAACTCAGTTCTTTGTTCTTGCTTTCCATCCACTTCTGCCTCACTCACTCCCTCTTCTGGGTCTCTATTACTCCAGCAGGCTGTGCCAGTCTATGGTGGACAGCAATTTGTTTTTCTGGCAAGTCCAAATCCTTCCTCCTTCTGGAAAACCATCTTGCCCACCCCCAACCCCACTGTTTCAGGAGGGCGAGGGGGACTTCAATACTGCTACATGATCCCGCCTCCATTCTCAGAGACTGACTACAAGCTGGGCCAATAAGAGAAGCCCTCCTTACTGGGCCTCCTTGATTGGTCCAGGGATCTGCACCTGAGCCAAGCTGGGCCAATCAGAGCTCTTCACTGGGATTATTGACTCTGAGACTTGAAATGATGAGGTTCAGTTCATCCTGCGGGAGGCAATGCTGGGGAAAGTGAAATTAAACCCAGCCAGAAGCTGTGTGTGAGGGGTTGGACTGAGAGCCTAACCAACATACACAGAAAGGCAGAAACCAGAGACAGTCCTGGCAGCACTGTTTTCCAGGGTCCAACTAACTCCATGTCCAGTTGCATATCTTCCCCAGCACAGTTCCATACACCATATACACACATTCTCCTGTCTGCCTTAAGTCTCGTGAGACCAGTTTTTATCACCTGCCACCAAAAGAGTCTAAGGAGGGTAGTGGTTAAGCACATGGGCTCTGAAACCAGATGCACTGGTCTAAACCCCAGCTGTTCCTCTTACTAGCTGTGTGACTTTGGGTAAGTTAATTAACCTCTCTAGGTGCCAAATCCTTCCTCTGTAAAATGTTATCAGTAGTCTGTGAGGATTCAATGAGTTACATACCAAACACTGGCTCAGTGCCTGGTAGCCACAGTGAAACAACCAAGACCCCAGCCTGCTGGCAGCAGCAAACAGGAATTCTGGGTTAGGGTCCAGGTGGGGGTGAGAGGCAGGTGACTGGTTCCTGCCAGGCCTACCTGCCAGGCCTCCTGAATATCAGGGGGCCTTTGGGAAGTAGAGATCCTGTAGTAACTTGAACTGATAAAGTAATGGCAATGTTGGACGCTACTATTTACTGAGCACCTACTATGTGCCAGGCTCTGTGTTAGGCACTTTGATTTTTAGGCCAGTTCTGACCTCTTCCCAGAACTTGAAAGACCCCAAAAGTTGTGAAATTCACCTCCCATCTTCAGAGAAGCACCTCTGGGGAGAGGAACACAGGTTCTTTGGAGAATGAAGAACATTCCTCCTCAGGACAGCTACTGTGAGACATTCCTCAGCCCAGGAAAGAAACTCAACCTTTGCCAGGCCTCTCTCTGATAGGCTGGGCACCTATAGATGCTTTGCGCATATTATCTCGTTAAATCATCATACCAATTCCATGAGGTAAGAACTACTACCCCACTCTGTTTGAGGAAAGTAAGGTTCAAAAGGGTTAGGTGACTCATCCAAGGCCAAAGGCAGGTCCAGGACAAGAGCACAGACCTTTGGACCTCAGAGTCCTCACCCTACTTTATATCTGAACTGTCTCTGGTGGCAGACACTCTTCCTTTCCCTCTCTGCACAAATGGATTCCCACTGGCCATGAAGAACTGCTTCACAGCCACCCAGAGCTGGAACGTGTGCTCTGCTTGGCAACTATCAAATGAATCTCAGAGGAAGTTTGAAATCCTAGACAGAAGTAAACATTTAACACAAGGAAGAAGCAAAATGCCTAGTAGCAGAGAGGGACAGAACCCTGAGGCTCCCTGTGACAGTACTTTGTATTTCAGCCCACTGGTCACAACCCTGTGAGGAGGTTCTGTTGTTACACCCATTGCACAGATGAAAAGACTGAGGCCTGAATGGTTAAATGTGTTTGTCCAGCTCGGAAGTGGCAGAGTCAGGATCTGAACCAGGCTTGTCTGTGTCTAGGGCCGATGCTTTGCTCAGCTCACCCTGCTGCTTCCCATTTATTCCCACTCCACTGAGAAACACAAACTCTCTGATAAGGTGACATCTCTGCTTGCGAGAAAGATCTGCTGAGCAATTCTCTTATGCAGCCCTGAGTTGCATAATGCCCCTCCAGGGGCCCCAGACGGTCCCAGGGACCTAGGAAGAGGCAGACAGACTGCTACCTCGTCTCTCAGGCCTCCTCCACTGCTTCACCAGGCTGCAGATTCCAAGCCCCAGGGGGAAGGAGGATTCTCTAAAACAGAACATCAGGCCTCAGCAGGCGTCCACACCAGGTTCCCAGGGTCCAGCGGTAATTGTGTAAATACTCGCACATTCAACTCTCCCTGAACTTTTCTTCCTCCTTAATTGGTTTCCTAGTTTTCTCAACTGCATCTGCCAAGTCATTTGGAAAGCTGATGCCCCCATCTGCTTCTGCTGGGCTCCGAGTGGGGTTCTGGAGTCAGCTCGGCACGTCAGCGCCCTCCTGATCGAAGGGGTGTGTGGAGGAAGTCAGCAAGGGAAAGGAGACCCTCACTGGGCACATCTTAGCCCGAGGCTGCTGGGGCCCTCCCTCCATCCCTGTCTCCACCCAGGGCTTCCCGGGCTTCCCTGTGCTGACAGCCCCTCAGGCTGCTCCTGACCCAGGCTGTCTGTGCCCTGTCTCCTCCATTTGATATGTTCTTTTTTTTTTTTTTTAGGTATTACCGTATGTATTTATTTTATTTATCTTACTTTTTTTAGTATTTTGCATATTTTTTCAATTAAAAATTTTTTTATTGGAGTATAAATGCTTTACAATGTTGTGTTAGTTTCTGCTGTACAATTAACATGTATCTGTGGAATCTAGAAAAATGGTACAGATGAACCCATTTGCAGGGCAGGAATGGAGACACAGACGTAGAGAACGGGCATGTGGACACAGCGGGGAGGAGGAGGGTGGGACAAATTGGGAGATTACGACTGACATATATACACTACCAAGCGTAAAACAGATAGCTAGCGGGAACATGCCATAAAGCATAGGAAGCTCAGCTCCGTGCTCTGTGACGACCTAGATGGGTGGGATGGGGGGGTGGGGGGGGGGAGGGACCATAAAGCATAGGAAGCTCAGCTCCGTGCTCTGTGACGACCTAGATGGGTGGGATGGGGGGGTGGGGGGTGGGAGGGAGGCCCAAGAGGGAGGGGATATAGATATACATTTGATATGTTCTTGAAGGCTGAGGGAAGGTTTGCCTTGAATTCCCCAGAGCACATAAGACTCTTCTGTCCCCAGATTCTCCCTGACCTGGCTCTTCCCTGGCCACCTCGCTCCACCTGTGACAGAGCCAGTCCACTGGCAGCTAGAGTCAGGGAGACCCAAGTCCAAACCCTGCTGCTTCTGCCCCCTCATGGACTGATCCTGGGCATCTCATTCCATTGTGGGCCTCAGCGTCCTCACCTGTGATGGGTATAGTCGCCTCCCCTCCCCCAAGTGTCCTCAGGAGTGCTGACTAAATGAGATGACATCTGGAAAGTGCCTTGTCTGAGGGCTGGCATCTAGAGGGTGCTTCATAAACCCGATACATATGCGTTATTTTTATTATCACTTTTTTTAATATTTTATTATTTTATTTTTATTTTTATTATCACTTTTAACTCTTCTCATATTTACTCCTGCATTTACGCAGGAGTAAATATGAGAAGAGTTAAAAGTGATTGTCTTGGGGTGGGGGGGACAGGGAAAGGAGATGGTAGGAGTAGAGGATACATGTATGTGTTATTTTGGTTAAAAAAACTTATTAAAAATGTAAAGAAATTCTGACACATGCTACAACATGGACGAACCTTGAGGACATTATGCTAAGTGAAATAGGCACAAAAACACAAATGATTGCATTTATATGAGATTCCTAGAGTAGTCAAATTCATAGAGACATTAAAGAGAATGATGGTTGGGGACTTCCCTGGTGGTCCAGTGGTAAAGAATCCGCCTTCCAAGACAGGGGACGCGGGTTAGATCCGCTGGGGAGGGGACTTAGATCCCACATGCCGAGGGGCAACTAAGCCCGCACGCTTACAACTGCTGAGCTCGTGCGCCTCAATTAGAGAGCCTGTATGCCACAAACTACAGAGCCCATGTGCTCCGGAACCCACATGCCACAACTAGAGAGGAGCCCGCGGCGTGCTGCAACAAAGAGCCCGCGCACCGTAACTGAGACCTGATGCAGCCAAAAATGAAATAAAAATAAATTTAAAAAAAGAGAGAGAGAGAGAATGGTGGTTGCCAGGAGTTGGGGGCAGAGGGGATGGGGAGATGCTGTTTAATGGGTACAGAGTTTCAGTTTGGGAAGACGAAAAAGTTCCGGAGATGGATGGTGGTGATGGTTGCACAGCAATTTGAATGTGCTTGATGTCACTGAACTGTACACTTACAAATAGTTAAGATGATAAATTTTGTTTTTTATGTATATTTTACCACAGTTGAAAAGAAGAAAACAGAGAGGACACATAAAAAAAAATTAATAAGGTTTCACTATATGCCCCTGATGTTCTATTTTCTGTCTGGGAATGGATGAGGGTTGTCTTTCCGTCCATCACTATCTCTCAGATTCTACCTATCAGAACGCAAGAGCAAAAGGGGTTGGGCCAGTGCCTCCTTGCAGCGCTGCTGGCCTGTAGGCAGGATCACTCTTGGTAGCAAGGGGCTGTCCTGTGCACTGTAGGGTGCTGGGCATCCCTCTCTCTACCCACCAGATGTCAGTGGTCTCCCCCAACCTTTAGTTGTGACAACCAAAGATGTCTCCAGACATTGCCACTGTCCCCGGGGGACAAAATCACCCTCAGTTGAGAACCCTGGATTAGATGCAGCCACGATGGGAACTGTGGCCCTGTGGCCCGGGGAGGACCTCGACATCCCATGGGAGTGCAGACCCACACTCGCTCCCTCCTGCCCGCAGAGGCCAGGCCGACACCCCCGGCAGGTGGCTCAGGGCTCTGCCTTCCCGCCTCGCCCAGAGACACCCCTTACCCAGCCTGATGTCTCCCTCAAGCGTCATCAGCACGTTGCCAGCTTTCAGATCCCGGTGGATGACCTTCTTGCCGTGCAAGAAGGTGAGGGCTTCCAGCATCTGGCGGCAAACCACCTGAATCTGGGGCTCAGTGAGGCCTCTGTCCAGCTCTGGAAACAGAGAGAACCTGTCAACTCAGCAAGTGCTCAATGCAGGCAACTCCAGGTCAGGGCCCTGCCAGGTATAAGAAATACATAAGCCGCCAATGTGGCTGAGCACTTACTGTATACCAGGTTCACTTCTAAGCACTTCACATGGTACCTGCTTCGTCCTCACAGTAACACTATGGAGCAGGCACAATTGTTCCGCCATTTTACAGGTTAGGAAACTGAGGCTCAGAGAGGTCAAGTCACTTGCTCAAGGTCACACAGTAGGGAGTCACAGATCTGAGATTAAAAACAGCCAGCCTGGGGCTTCCCTGGTGGCGCAGTGGTTGAGAGTCCGCCTGCCGATGCAGGGGACACGGGGTCGTGCCCCGGTCGGGGAAGATCCCACATGCCGCGGAGCGGCTGGGCCCGTGAGCCATGGCCGCTGAGCCTGCGCGTCCGGAGCCTGTGCTCCGCAACGGGAGAGGCCACAACAGTGAGAGGCCCGCGTACCGCAAAAAAAGAAAAAAACCAGCCAGCCTGGCTTCAGAGCTCAGGTTTGCAAACACAACCTTTCTGAGGGGCAGAGACCCATTCTGTGAGCGGGCACTGAGTGTCAGGCTCCGTGCTGGGTGTGGGGACACAGAGAAGGGCATGGAAATGACAAGCAACTTTTGGAACACAGGGGGGTTGGGGTGCATGGGAGGGCAGGACAGGCAGCAACCCCTTCTGCCTGGGGAATCGGGAAGCTCCCCAGAGGAAAGGGCATTCGAGCTGTGTCTTGAAGGAAGAACAGGTGTTTGAGAGGAGAAAAGTGGGGCAGGGCATTCCAGGTCAAAGAACCAGCCGAAGCGAAGGCCTGGAGGTGACATGAGCTGGTGTTGAAAAATGTTAACTGGCTGGTGGTGGTGGTGCCAGAGATGGGGAAGGTGAGGGGCCGTCACCAAAAGCCTCTTGTGTGCTGGTTGGGGCCGTGCGTGTGCGCACAAACAGACACACACACACACACTATACACAACCCAGCGTCCACTGAGAGACGGCAGGGACTTCTTTTCTGAGCAGCTGAGGAACGCAAAGAAGAGTTCCACGGCATGTGCAAAGGACCCCGCTTGGCTGGCGGGGAAAGTTAAGTGGAGGTCGGAGTTTGGCGGGAGCTCTGAAGGCTGCATTTTCTTTGAAACGCAATGGGCAGTCTGGGAGAGGCTCTGAGCGGGACAGAGATACAACCTGAGTTTTGCGTTTAAAAAATTCCTCCTGGGGCTTCCCTGGTGGCGCAGTGGTTGAGATTCCACCTGCCGATGCAGGGGACACAGGTCTGTGCCCCAGACCGGGAGGATCCCACGTGCCGCGAAGCGGCTGGGCCCGTGAGCCATGGCCGCTGAGCCTGCGCGTCCGGAGCCTGTGCTCCGCAACGGGAGAGGCCACAACAGTGAGAGGCCCGCGTACCACAAAAAAAAAAAAAAAAAAAAAAAATTCCTCCTGGTGCAGCGAGTGAAGAGCTCGCAGGGAACAAGAGTGGGCACGGGGCTTGGATGGGGGCCACACCGTGGTCCAGGAGGGCTAGAAGGTGGCCAACGCTTTGAAGAGGAATGATTCCTGACCTGGGTTGGGCAGGGGGGAATGACAGAGTGTGGGACCAGGTGGGTGCAGTGGGGAGGAAGGGTGCGAGAAGAGTCAAGGACGACATGCCCCACTCTCTGCCCCACTGGTCACCGTGATTATTGAGATTTTGCTGCCGCCCAAGCTCCCTGTGCTGAGGTGAGCCTCACAGCCCTGCCTGCTGGGCCTTCAGGCTGCAGGCTCCCAGGCTGGTGGGCCAGAGCACTGCATTGAGGCCTCCCTCTGGCTGGAGAAGCACTCTCCCCTTCTGACTTCCCAGGGCCAGGGCCAGGGTGGAGGTGCCAAATGCACTGTCCTGGGAAGCCCGGCCCCGAAGCAGGGCTCCTGGACCAGAGGTCCCTCTCTCTGGGTCCACAACTGCTCCCCTTCCCAACTGCTCATCCTTAACCCCTGCGCTTCCCCCAGCAGGGGTCTAGGCTCAGAGCCTGAGGGGACCTCAGGGACACACAGACTGCGCCTGAACCCAGCGCTGCCTCTTACTGGCTGTGTGGTTTCTGGCAAGTTGCTGTATCCCACTGCATCTTCATTTCCTGGTCTGTAAAATGGGAGTATGATGATGGATGTAGGCAGGGCTTCAGCGATAAAGCATGTTAACTTCTCAGCATGGAGTACAGTCAATAAAAGGTGATCGCTGTTACGCTGGTCCTGAGACTATGTCAGATTATCTGCAGCAATTTTTTTTTTTTTTTTCCTGGCGGTA